TCCCTTCCTTCCTTCCTTCCTTCCTTCCTTCCTTCCTTCCTTCCTTCCTTCCTTCCTTCCTTCTCCTCCTCCTCTCTCTCTCTCTCTCTCTCACATACACACACACTCCTTCCTTCCTTCCTTCCTTGTAGGAGCACAGCTGGATCACCCAACCCACAGACCTCCTACTTTAAATCAGTTGTGTCCCTTAGCATTAGAATGTGACTCTTGATCCCACTTCCAGAATTTAAATCTAGGAGCAGAAAAGGGGGCTGGGAAAAAGAAAGGGATGGGGACATGGGGAGAGATCCAGGAAGGCGTGTTTCTGCCAGGTGAATGGTTGCCACAATTTGGCGACTCTTCTGTTATTTTGTCCTTTCTGCCACCAACCCCTTTTCTCCAAAGAGGTGAGAGCAGCCATGGCTGGCTGGGGAATTCTGGGAGCTGAAGTCCACGCGTCTTCGAGTGGCCAAGGTTGAGAAACACTGGTATAGATTCCCACAGAGAATGGGTTTCAGCTCCTCCTCATGTTAAATATTATTTGAACGTCCTAATCTTAGGAATGCCCTCCCCAAGCAACTGTACAGTATCCCTTTCATTCATCAAGCTACAAATGTCTCATCTGATTTCCTTGAAACTTGCTCAAGGACATCTTCATTTTGATTTGTGATGGAAGAGCACCACTTGAAATAGAAAGATTATATTCGGACCCATGGGGTTGGCCACACTGTACTGCCCCCCCCTCCTCCTCCTCCTCTTCTTCTTCTATACATTTTTCAAAAAGATTCACAATTGCACCGTTTTCTCCCTTTTTATTCTCTTTCTGGTTGTACTGAACTCCACGGCATGGATAGAAGCATCTAAACTGAAATAGAAAGTGCTCAAATTCAATGGCTGGTCTTTGCTGCCTTGGAAAAATCCTTATATTTTTGAAGCCATTTCCTGTTGTCTGCCCCAGAGGAGTGACATCATTCCCTTCTTTTTTTCTCTTCCGCTGGGGACTGGGAAGGAAGTCTGAGTAAGGATGCAAGGAATGTAGCAGCTTGTTACCCTGAAAAGGGAGATTGCAAGCCAGCCAGGTAGCACGCAGGCCGTGTTTAAAATCAAAAATAAAAAGCTCAGGAGGGCTCAAGAAATAGCGCTTTCCTGTGTCCCTCTCAACAATTAAAGGGAGAGTCTATTGTATTTCCTT